TTCTCCGCCCCTGTTCAGCAGGAAGCAGCCAGAGAGAAAGCAATGTCCACAAACCCATGGAGGAGAAAGGGGGGAATGAAGGGTCCCCACCAGTAAGATGGCAAACTTTCAGCTTCTCTTCGGGGTCCTCAGTTCCCGCCAGCGCCACCTGAAGCCCAATCACCTCTCGCCCCCTTCCCAATCCCAGCACCTAGCCAACAGCCACCAGCCCCGTAGAAGTGACACCTCGATCAATTCATGCCCCTTCCTATATAACCCAGCACCTTTCCCTAATAAAGCGGAACTCTCCGGTGAATTGCTGATGTGTCGCTCCTTTCCTTTCACTGAACATCTTCATTCCCTCCTTTGTTTTGAGTTGCATGCTTTTAGCAGTTGGTTCACTAATAAACCAAGTCGGTAATTTTCCAAGATCTAGCTCTGTAGGACATGCATAACTATGATAGAAATCAAAACCTAAAGTCTTTATTTCATTTTCCTCCAGCATTTCTATTACATATTTTGCTTTCTGTTTTGTAAAGCTGCTTCTTAAATGTTCTATATTATAAATACCTTTCTGTGTAAATTTAAAGTCTGATTATTTTTAAAGACTGCATGGTCTTCAAATGCTAGGAAATTAATTTAATCAATACCCATACCCCATTGGAAGATCTTTGAGTTGGTTTCTGTCTTGATATTTTACCTGAAGTGAACATCTTTGCCTACTTGACTCAAAGTAATTTCTGGAATTGGAATCTTGTAGGTTTCTGACATGTTGTCAGCGTCCATTTTAAACATTTTATACCAGTTTTCATTCACAGGAGTAGGATAGTGTAATGTTTAAGCAGGTGATCACTATGCAAATAAATTTTCTTTAGAAACACTGCTTAGGAGGCAGTTACTTCAACTGGCATTGTCAGGGAATGTTTCACAAAATACTACTAACAGCAGTGTTTGTAACTGCCCTTTACTGAGGGCCAGCTGCTATCCTGAGTTCCCTCAATCTCCCATCAATCTCATGTATTAATCATTATAATTCTCATTTTTATAAATTTGGAAACTATGGCTTATATAAGGGAAATGGCTCAGGGTATTCAGTTAGTAAGGAGCAAAGTCAGGATTCAAATCTGTACAGCCTAACTCAAAAGCCTTAACCAGATACAGCAGTCGCTGTGGGCTCACTTGGATTTTTTTGATTAAAACACAATACGTTGTCAATAGGTTATAAGTTGATTCATGCCAGGAGTTCTTGGAAGAGTTACATGTGATTCATCTATTCACAGCTGTTACAGTTTTAAAGGATTCTCAGAGAAACCATTCACTGAAATGTAAATTGAAATCAGTTGCCTGCAGGATGTTGACTGCATGTTTGTGTGTTTACATTTAATTTACTCATATAACCTCTGGAAGTCAGAGACAATTTAATTTTCAAGACAAAATTAGAACTGGCCACTGCCACCAATATGCTTTGTACTGATTTCTCTGGGCTTCAGTTTCCCCTCTTGTTTTAAAAGGGTAGAGGGGGTGGATTAAACGATATGAGCTTCCCTACCTATTAAAATTAAACCATACGTCCCCCGTTTATTGACCATTTGGTACTTGAATGATATAAGCATCTAGATATAAATACTTTATGAGCAAAGTAAGTTCATCTAAATACAGAGAAATGAGACTGCCCTTTTAATCAATTCTGTAAGCAGTAGCTAATTTGCATAGGGCAAAAAGATTTTCTGTTTAAATGGAGTTCAAGTAGTTAATTGATGATTGATTCTGACTCACTTCTTGATAAAAATTCTAAGTCTCAGCTAGCAAAGGTCTCCTCTGTTTCTCCTGTGAAGGGGTAGAGGGGAATGAGCAGAATTCTCATGAAGAGTTGAATGTGAGGGTGGGTGGAGGAAGAGGTGGCATATGTGGCCACAAAAGTCTTTCAGCTTGCGCGTTGCATCTTGTTCATACAGAACTGTGGCGGCTCGATGCAAACTGTAGTTATGCTATAGTAGAAAAGGTGTAGTTACAGGACCTTGGGGCCTCTCTAGCTGGCATATGGGGAAAGAGAAGTAGGACGATACTCAGGAGGTTTTTTAACAGTCCACATTAGGGAGTGGCTCACATCACTTTTACTTTTGTTCCTTTGGCCAGAACTCCGCCACAGGGCCGCACTGTAAGGAAGACAAAATTATGTTAAATTGTGTGCTCAGGAAGAAGGATGGAACAAAGTACGTAGAAACACAGGTTTGTGGGATGAAATCAAAGTAATTGTTAATTCTGGAAAAAATAGTTGTACAAGGAGGGGAATAAAATAAAGATGATAATAATGGATAATATTTATTATGTACTTACTCTGTACCAGGTACTGTTTTAAGTCTTTACATGCTTCATATTAATCTTAAAAATTCTGTGAGATAAATATGATTGTAATTCCCATTTTACAGATGAATTTTGATTTCACTCAAGTGTTGATATCAGTATGTTTATAGATAAACGGGATAGGAAATGAGAGTGGAGTAAGAGCCCAACATTATCTGTTATAGTAGGAAATTTAAATAATCTGGAAATAACATCTATATTATATAATATCTAAAATTAAACAGTTGGTACAACAGTCTACACATATACACTGTTTAGAAATAAAGAGGTAGATGGCAGCAGGAACAACTTAGCTGAAACTCCTCAGCATGACCAAATTCAAGTATAGGTGTCTCACCTGAGTATTCCAGCCCCAGGTAAGTTCACTGTGGATTTTGTGAGCCCAAAAAATGATGGTGGAATGTTGGGGGCAAAATGGGGCTCATACCAAGTTTTAGTCTCAGTGGCAGGTCAAGCTTTAGAATCCCGTCTGCACCTGGCAAGCCTGTCTCAGTCTCTGCTCTCTGCTCCCTGCTCCCCAGTCTCTGCTCTCCTGCTTCCCTCTGCCCTGCTCCAGTCTCTGCTCTGCTCTCCAGGCTTCTCTTCTTCTGCTTCGGGCTCTGCTCTAGGATCTGGAGGAGCTCTTCCTCTAGCCGGCAGGCAGTAATGGCTTATTGCCTCCGGGTATGTACCTGCGCAGTAGGCTAAATATTACATCATTGTATGTACACTGTGGGTACACAGGTGAGGATCATGGCCATGTAACTTCCATTTTCCCTACAGTAGGGTAAGGTATTACCCTCATGCTACTGTACTTTCTAAACTATGTTGATGAAAATGTGAGTACTTGGTATCAGAAAGCTGTCAAGAGAAAGCAAATGAAAACGATCATGTATACCTTATTTTCATGGAGAACAGAGGTGGTTTGGTAAATCATTAAATGATGAAGCCTTACACTAAAAGGGAGCTGAGACCAAATTTCTAGACCTGGGTTTGTTCAGTCCTGTACTTCATTGGTCCAAGTCACTTAACCTCTGAGGGGTTCACTTTCTTCAAATTTCAATGAGAATGGTGATCTCCTTGAGTTACTTTAACTTCTGAAGTTCCACAGTTTAGGTGTTAGACCAATTTCTGTTTTTCAACAGATCTTTATGTGAAAGTATAGGCGTCAAAGCTAGTTTTAGGTGTAACATGGCGGTTTAGTAAGAACCAACACCTTGTTTTATTCTTACCTAGTATGTTGCCTGGTAGTCACGTAGCTACATGGTTTTTTTGGTACCAGTTTATTAAATATTCATAACTAATTTTCATCCAGTAGTTTTTAATGTATTAAATTATAACATAGAGAAAGGTATATAGCACAATGAACTTTCATAGTGAACATGCTCTATCAGATACTGGATCAAGAGCCAACACTACCAGGACTTCCTAGAGCTAATATCAAAGTGGATTGGGTACAAGCTCTTATATCCAAAGTTGGTTAAAGGATACAAACTTGCAGTTACGAATAAGTTCTGAGGATCTAATGCACATCATGGTGACTATAGTTAATAATACTCCATTATATACTTGAAATTTGCTGAGAGGAGATCTTAAGTGTTCTTCCCACACATACAAAAAGGTAACTATGTCAGGTAATTAATGTGCTGATTACCTTGATTGTGGTAAATAAATATTTTACAAAGTGTGTGTGTGTGTGTGTGTGTGTGTGTGTGTGTGTGTATGTAAAATCATCATGTGTGCTTTAAATATATACAATTATATTTGTTAATTATACTCAATAAAACTAGGAAGAATAAAACAGAACATTGCCTTTATCCTAGGAGCCCTTTCCAATTGTTCTCCTCAGAAAACCAACCACTAGCTTGAATTCTAACAAATAGGTTAGATTTTGAACTATAAAAAGTGACACCTAGTAGTTGTGTAAAACTGTACACATAGACACATATGCATGTTCACATATCTCTTAAAAGTAATGAAATATATAAATACATATGCATAAACATCTATACACATTTATATTTTTTAGATTTTGGTAGGGGAAGAGGTTGCCAATTTTATTTCTGGCTTCCCAAGATGATACATTTAAATTTGTTGAGATTTCCTACTGATAGATATTGATTGTATAAGAATCAAGTTAATGATGGAGTTGTGTCCTGATTAGTTGAAAATATCCTAATTCAAAAATGCATTTTATACACCTAACCTACTGAACATTGTACTTGGCCTAGCCTACCTTAAATGTGCTCAGAACATCTGCATTAGCCTACATTGGGCAAAATCATCTAACATAAAGCCCATTTTATAATGAAGTGTTGAATATCTCACATAATTTGTTGAATACTGTACTGAAAGTGAAGAACAGTGGTTGCAAGAGATTCAGTTATTTGCCCTTGTGATCACATGGCTGGCTGAGAGCCACAGCGTGTGGACACTGCCTAGAATCACAAGAGGGTATTGTACTGAATGTTGCTAGCCTGGGAAAAGATCTAAATTCAGACTTTGCAGTATAGTTTCTTCTAAATGAGTACCACTTCTGTACCATTGTAAAGTCGAAAAATTTTAAGTTGACCCATTGTAGGTCAGGGACTGCTTGTATATGCATTTATTATCAATTTACTACTTCCAAGTACCAGTCATAACAGTATAGTAATCTAATAAGAAAACTTTTATTTTAGGTCCAGTGGCATTGCAGAGCACGGATGGTTGCAGGAGCCAATTTTTACATTGTTGGACGAGACCCTGCTGGCATGCCTCATCCAGAAACAGGGAAGGATCTTTATGAGCCTACTCATGGCGCCAAAGTGCTGACAATGGCCCCCGGCCTCATCACCTTGGAAATAGTTCCATTTAGAGTTGCAGCTTACAATAAGAAAAAGAAGCAAATGGATTACTATGACTCCGAACAGTAAGTTTACATTCTCTGAACAAATCTATGAATCATCTTCTGCTCTAAGCTCCTCCCAGGCCTTTAACATATTGTTATCTTTACAACTTTACCAATGACAAGCTTTTGTGGTATCCATTATGGAGAGAGGAAACTAATTACTCAGTATTCCAGAAGTTAGAAGTAAAATTGAATCTGGTTTCATGGTTCATCATTTCATAAAAGTATTGACATTTCTGTGTCTGCCATATCTGCTGTAGTACTACTGATCATGTAGAATTAGTCCAAGGACGTAGTGATGATTACTCTGGTAAGCTCTGGTAAGAGAGTTTAGTATTTGTGTAATCACTGTGTGACAGGCACTGTCTAATTGCTTTGTTGCAGATATTAAATTAACTATTCCCCACAAAAATCCTATGAGGTAGGTGCTATTATTATCCTCATTTTACAAGTAAGTAGTAAGCTGAGGCATACAAAGTTCAAATAACTTGTGTAAGGTCACAGAGCCACTAAGTAGCAGTCCTGCAGTTGAACCCAAGTAGTATGGCTTCAGAAGCTGTGCATTTGACCATGAAGAGTACAGCTTCTTCCTGCAGAGATCTTACGAGGAGAAAAAAAGTAACAAGCCTCTGTACAAACTTATAAAAAGTCCAAATTATGACAGTATGGAGCATGTGTCTATTTCCCTTTGAATGACAAAATTGTATTAATTTCTATCTGTAGGTAATATCAGTAGTAGTACATTATAAATTCAGAGTGGCAGTGTGAGGCTCTGGAGATCAGAAGTTAGGAAGTTAGGGGTTCTATCCCTGGTCCTTGCTGTGTAACCAGAGAGTCCCGTGTCACTTTTGACCTTCTTTCTTCATTTTTAAATGATGGCAGCGGAGAGCTGATTCCCTCATAGCTCAAAATCTGTAGTTCATTGCATGATCTGTAACATCTTTTTATTTCTGTGTCTTAGTAGGCGATTGCTGTTTTGTTGATTAATGATTAGTATGTAGTACAAATCACACCTGCTTATTTAGTATGCCTGCTTCTTTTTTAGTAAAAATTACAATTTATGTTCAGCAAGTGAGGTGTTATTTTTTATTTACATTTTTTTGTTGTCACCTATACTGAGAGGTACCAATTGAAAATTGACCATGGACTCATACACCTTTGATCTCAGAGCCCTCATCCTTTTGCATGATACTTTACAGATGTCTCTGTTTTTAGGAATAGTGTTCTTCCTGATCCTGATCCTGTGTCCTCATTTAATACGGTGGGGACCAGAGAGAAGAAGAAATCTTTTAGAAATCAAAGCATTTTCTTTTTTTCGAAAAGGGGCATGAAGTTTTGTGTCATTTAATTTCTTTGAGATGAATGCTAAGTTGTCTGGATAAAGAAATACTACTAACAGTGGAGTTTCTGGGATTTGTTAGCTTCTTACTTAATGTCATATGTAATTCTTAGGAAAATGTACAATTTTAGATGACAGCAGGCTTTTCTGAGTGATAAACTGTGTAGCTAAAATACGGAGCAATCTTAGGAATCTCTGAAGAGAAAAGGCTTATCAAACTGGTGCTGGCAAGTGTAAAAGAATACCTAACTGCCCCCTGTGGCCCACATGTGGAATTCAAGACAGGAGCAGTTCTGGACTATTACTTTCTGAAAATCTAAAATTTGGTCCAGATTCCATTTTACATCTGAAACATGCCATGAGAAGACTTTGTAGTAAACCAAAACGTTTTTACCCTTGTGCAAAATTGGAGTTTGCTAATGCCTATAAATAGTTCTAAACTGTGTGTATGTTCATATGTACTATGCATGCATATGCATATATAGTTATATACACATACACTACACTGTCTTTAAAACAGTGCAGCTGTAAAAGGGATGTGCTGACAGTTTTGACTTTCTCTACCAAAGAGATGCCTTAGCAGCTTTAAAAAAAGAATATTAAGAAAAATAAAAGGAATTACAGTAAACCTTGAACTGTATTAACACAAAAGCTGATGAACACTGAAAAAAATAAAGAGTAAAATAAAAATGTTTCTAATACCATCCTGTCCTTTTATGGTTAAAAGTATGCAGGGCCACCGTTAGAGATCGGAATTTACTTAGTCTGGGGAGAGGTTTACACGTTGGCATTCTTTTGAAAGCCGAGAACCCCTGAGGAGGGTAGCATTCTATAGGAATAAATCTGTAAAACATACAGTGTCAGAGATAGAGTGCTAGGGTGGGGAACCCTTTGCTTCTCTCCCAGCATGCAATCTGTTTGTTTAGTTTGTGTACAAGGTGCTATGAACATAATCTTCTTCTGAAAGTTAATGATTAGTCACTTAAAGAACAAGGAGAGAGAGAGAGAGAAAATCATTCTACTACTGGGCAAATAGTTAAAACTTAGGTGACTTTCCATTCTGATGAGTTAGGGAAACAAAACTAAATGGAGTTGAGCTTTTCTTTTACACTTCTGCTTGTGCTTACATGTTTCATTACTGTGTTTTCCCTGCATGATCAGGTGATTTAATCACACACAGGGTCCTACAACCCATCTATCTGTATGTGGTGGGCTTATGTGCTGGAAAGCCCTGGATATCTTTCATGTTTGTTAAATCTGTGTAGTATTGCTTTAAGTCTCTCTTTTAATCATTCAAAAGCTAAATAATTACATCAGTTCTCATAAGATTTTCCAGTGATGAATTCTATATTAGTTGCATGAGTGGCTCATTTTCTTGGAATTTTTTTTGAGTTACCAAATCTTAATAAATTGTAACTGGGAAGTTTTGAAACTGCCTTAGAGTTCTAATCTTTTATATTTGTGTTCAAATATAATTAAGTTGATGGGAATATGTTGGAAAGTGACTAAAATTTGTGGAAAGGCAATAGTCTTTGATGTAGTGAGAAAACAGTTATTAATTATGCACATATGAGGTTGTCTTATGTTTGATTAATGAATGCTATTCAATGCCAGCTTTTATGTAATTAATGATTTTGCAGCTTTTGATTTGATTAAATACCAGTGTAAGACAAGGCTCAGGGAGAAACGAACTTCATGAAGATTTTAGGCAAGATATTATTGATAGGGATTATGATAAAAATCATCTGTTTATACTTAACGATGTTAAGTTGGTTCTTATTAGCTGTAATAGTGACTCAAGGAAATTTAGTTTTAAGACTACAAGATTAAAGCCCATTCTTTCAGCTATTAGAAACAAACTTTTAGAGATAATTCAGTTACTTGTAATTTTTTCTCCTTTATGAAGTAAATCTTCTTTGTATTTCGGTAGGTAAATGCAAGATTGTGGTTCAGATTATTGAAATAGCAACCCAACAAAAAGAGAGCCCATGTGACTGAGGGAGGACTTTTTGGAAATGGGTGAATGAAGGGACATGTGCGTGTAAATGTTTGCTGTCTGGTTATTTCTGCATTATCAAGAGAGTATTTCTTTTGTTATTTTTAATCCTATAGTCATGTACTATTAGTGTCATTTTTAAAAAATACAGTAATCATAGGCATCCTTCAGGCTTTTTCATATATTCTTCCCTTCTATATAATTTCTATAGGAAATCTCATCTATTCTAGTGGTTTCTGTGTAGTGACTAATGTTTTCAAGTTGCTAATTGTGTTAGCTTTCTGTTGCTGTATAATGCACTATCACTAATTTAGCAGCTTAAAACAATATTTATTTATTACCTTACAGTTCCTTAGGTCAGAAGTTGAGATGGGCTAGACGAGATTTTATGGCGGGGCTAGGTTCTGGGAAGAATTCACTTTCAAGATGACCCTTACTGCTGGCAGAATTCAGTTTCCTAAGGTTGTGGGACTGAGATCTCTATCTTCTTACTGGCTGTTGGCTGAGGATTGCCTTCTGCTCCTAGATGCTACTGTTAGGTCCTTCCTTATGGGCTCCTCCGTTTAAGTAATAGAACCTCGCTCATAGCGAATCCCTCTCATGCTTCAAACCTCCCTGACTTCCCCTTCTGCTGTCAGCTGAGAAGAGTCTTTGCTCGTAAAGGGCTCGAGTAATGAGGTTAGACTACTCAGATAATCTCACTATTTTAGGTTAGGTGATTAATAACTAACTACATCTGCCATATTCTGACATATGGCAGTGACTCCATGGGGTGAAGGTCCTGAGGACTATGTTAAAGAGTTCAGTGCCTGTTACACTAATGGGCATTTATGCTTAAGTTTCTTTATGTTACTTAAAATGCCTAGAACCAACTTTACCTTTTTATTTGATTAAATACCACTGTAAGACAAGGCTCAGGGAGAAACAAACTTCATGAAGATTTTAGGCAAGCTATTATTGATAGGAATTATGATAAAATTCTGTGATAAAAAGAAGGGAAGAATATATGAAAAAGCCTCATATCTAAAATCCTAAATCTCCTCAGTTAATTTTTATTCCCATCATATAGAATCTTGAGGTCTTTTGCTCTTTGCCTCACTCTTCACATCTAACTCTTGTTGTGTTGACCACTGAAATATTTCTTGTGTGAACTCTTTTCTTTCCCTTTCTTGTGGCATACATAGTCTTTGCAGTACACAGATATTTCTCTTAGAGCACTGGGGAACTGTCTTTTCCATTAATTCATAAAAATGCTTTGTTTATATTAATTTTGATGTTTCTTTGAAAACTTGTAGAAGTCCAGCTGTAGTTGCATGAATTCACCAATGAGTCTTGTCCTATGTAGATTTTGGACATATTTTATTGTGAAAAGTTACTGCATGACCATTAATAGGTAAAATTTCATTTAAAATCTTATATTATCTTCATTTTACTTTATATTTGAAATAGGGATACTCTAAATTTTATAATTTGATTTTTGAAAATCAAATTATATGTTTTCTATGTATTGTGTCTTGTTTTAAAGTCAACATGTTATATTGAAATTAGTACAAAACTTTCTGACTTTGCCATGCTTCATTCATTTATTAACCATTTATTGAGTCTTTACTATGTACAAGCCATTGTTAGGCGTGGACACTGTAGTTGGAAATAAGCAGATGTTGTTGCTTACATGGACTCACATTC